GACACCATAACAGAAGGCATGTTTGGCATAAAGCAAATATAGCATTTCAGCAAAAGAACCTCATACCAACTGTGAAACATGGAGGTGGAAGTGTTATGGTTTGGGGATGCTTTGCTGCAGCAGGACCTCGCCAGCTCACCATCACAGAATCCACTATGAATTCTACATTGTATCAGAAGGTGCTTGAGGAACATGTGAGACCATCGGTCAAAAAATTGAAGCTGAAGCGGAACTGGACCTTGCAACATGACAATGACTCAAAACATACCAGTAAATCCACCAAGGACTGGCTGAAAAATAAAAAATGGAGAGTTTTCTGGAATGGCCAAGTCAAAGCCCAGATCTAAATCCTATTGAGATCCTGTGGGGTGATTTGAAACGGACTGTGCATGCAAGAAACCCCTCAAACATCACACAGCTGAAAGAATTCTGCATTGAGGAGTGGGGGAAACTTTCTTCCAGTCGATGTCAGAAACTGGTAGATGGCCACAAGAAACGCCTCATTGAGGTTATTTCAGCCAAAGGGGGAAGCACTAGCTATTAGGGCATAGGGTGTCCTAACTTTTTCCTCAGTTGAAATAATAATTTTTGTTGATTTCTTTTGTTTAATAAGTGAAAACAAAGTGATTTTTTTGTTGTTGTTGTTTACATGCAATTACATCACTTTCATCTACAGGTACAAATTAAAACAAGATCAGAAATTGACATGTTGACATTTCTTAATAAAAAAACTGAATATTTAATGGGGTGTCCTAATTTTTTCACATGACTGTCTATAGTTTGTGTGTTTGTGTTCATGCAGATCACCAAAAAACTTTGCGGACACGCCTACATGGATGACCAATATTAGTAACGAGTTTGGCCAAGTCCTGAACTGTGTCCTAACCACTGGTGAGGGAGCTGGCCTAGATTACTTGTGCCAAGGCATCGTCAAGCGTTACAAGGATGCTAAGGAGCCAGAGCCAGATGTGATTTATGTTGACAGGGATTGCTGCAGCGAGACAGGTGTGTGACCTTCAATCTTTTCCTCCCAGGAATTTTTTTCTACTCTTTTTTTTTTTTTTTTGTATTTCACCCCGAAATGACTGATTTTGCAGTGGATTTTCTCAATTTGGGTGATATTTGCTTCATTTTCTGTTATTTATTTATTTATTTATTTATTTGTGTTGGAGTAAAAATCCACCAATAATCATTATGTAATTTGTGTTAGGAGTATAGGAGTATTCATCAGTTTCATTCACTTGACTTTTTCCAATCATCTACCATATTTATGACCATCAGCGGGGCAACGTAATGGCAGCGATTACAAAAACACATGAACAGAGATACCAAGAGAACGCTTTGATCATTGGATTTAACCAATACCGTGTCCCAGAAAACATTCTAACTAAAGGAGACATACACTGTAGTTTTATAAGCATTCAGTGAGTAGTCCATACAGATGTTGAGCTTAATAAAGGCTTACAGATGATACTCTCACCTGTAGGGTAGGAAGGCTTCAATGGAGTCAACCCCTGACTGTTAGCTAGCTCACACTTGCTTATCACCAAATGGTTGATAGATTCAGAATCTGCAAAATGTTTATTTTACCAAAATAAGAGGGATCATACAAAATGCATGTTATTGTTTATTTAGTGCTGACCTGAGTAAGATATTTCACATAAAGATGTTTACATATAGTCCACAAGAGAAAATAATAGTTGAATTTATAAAAATGACCCCGTTCAAAAGTTTACATACCCTTGATTCTTAATACTGTGTTGTTACCTGAATGATCCACAGCTGTGTTTTTTTGTTTACTGATAGTTGTTCAAGAGTCCCTTGTTTGTCCTGAACAGTTAAACTGCCTGCTGTTCTTCAG